AAAGAATCATAAACATGTGAAGGTGAAACGCAAAGTTTTAGAGGTCATCATCGTCCTGAGGAAAACAACAAATTACTGCCAAAACACATTTTGAATTATGATACCAGTTGTTGTATGAGTTTAGTGTATGTATATTGCATATCATCTTGACAAAATTTTGTATCTTATATACACCTGGTAATAAAAATTGATTGATAATTATGTTGCCATAACTCAATGTCCAGTCACTTTAACATGAAGATGCTTCTGCATTCTTATAAAACCTCTGCATAATAAGTTGTGAATATTAACACAACTTTATTTATAAGATATATAACAAACTGAGTTTCTGAAGTATTATAAGTATTCCAAGTTTGAACTTCTGACCTCTGACCTGTTTATGTAAGCTTAATTTAAGGAAGTAATGTCCTTGATAAAGTCAACTGAAGCACATGACCTCTTGTCTCAAGAGAGAAATATAATCTTCCCTCTAATCTTGTACTTCTACAGAACAAGGGGCCCTTGTAAAATTACATTTTCGACTGGTACAGAAACTAACATACTTGAGATCAATGAAAATTCTGTCAGACTTCTTTCTAGCAGCTGACATAAAATATTTGATGACTTTTACATGCATATATACATGTAATAATTTTTTCTTGTCTCTTTAAAAATTGAAATTCTAAAATGATGATCATAATAATTATACAATTTTCTTTCATTTTCTTAAGAGAACAATGGGACATATATAGACTCAAGACAATTCAAAGCTGAATATATTGAAGACACATGTCTATTATTGAAGCCTGAATGTTGCCGACTAGATGTCTAATGGTTATTTTTGTTGAAGGGTTGCTGTCTAATATTGACCTCTCCTTGTACTCGTAACAGAATCTAGGTAAACTCTTGAATGGAGAAGGTTGCAATGACACATCTCCTGAATCCCTAAAAAGTTACAGGAAAAATTAAAGTTCATGTTTCAGTCCTTGCAGGTTACAAGATGTATTAAATGTTATAGATGTTTTAAAATATTTTAACCTTCTTATAGGGGTTTAGAAAAAATGAGAGAAAAAATTACATCAGCCAAAAAAATGTACTTGACCATTTTTTTTGGTATCTTTTCACGTCATGAACTAAAGGAGTTTGTTTACTTGTAAATATCTGAACATATTGTGGAAAAAGATTTTGAATGCATGGTCGGATAAACCTATAAATAGCCATTTATATTTTTTTCAAATAGTTATTGTGACCCAAAATGAAAGAACCTAGGATAAATGTATTATAAAAATCCTCTTAATTCTACAACAAGTACATGTAAAAACTAAAAATCTGGACATTAGAAGTGCAAATATTTACTATCAAAAGAAAAGATTAGGTTTAATATCCAATTATCCCTTGTAAACTTAACTTTAAACCTTAAACATTGCTTTCATTTACATAAATTTAACTGTTAATTGTCTCCCTTTAAAGTGGAAAACCATCTCAGTGAATTAGGTACTTATGTTCACTTTGTTTGAATAATATTTGGATTTAAACTTCACAATCCCCTCTAAACTTTGATAAAAATTTAGAACAAATATTATTTTATGACATGACTAAATTATACCCTTTGGTGGCACACCAAGATTAATTTATTATACATGTACACTTCTTAAAATTATAACTTTAAATATATGTTATTATAGCATAAAAAATATGAAGTTGCTTCTCTCAATTATATTGCTTTCCCTCTCGTTTCTTTAAGATCTTAATCCTTAAATTAGCACCAAAAAACTTAGTAATTTTTTATTTTTTGTAATTTACAAGAAATTCCCGACATTATCACATTTTAGTTTCTGCCTACCTCAGTGACTTCCAATATCGATTTAATGCCAGTGTGGTATCTTTAAATTCTCACTAAAAAACTTGCCAGAATTTCAACAATATAACAACAATACAGTTTGAAATGCATTTTTTTATGCATACTTATACAGTTCATCATTCAAATTGTATTCCAAACCCAAATTACCACAAGGGAGACAATTGAAGGGATAGATGGGTAAAGATGAAATGAAATTAGATTTAAATGAAACTTGAGCTTTGATTCACAATGAGATAACATTCAATAAAGATCTTTTTTATGAGTTGCAAGACACATTCAATATTTAAATCAGATGTAGATCTTAAATTTTAACACCTTTTAACAAAAGAGGCAATCAGTCGTTAAATTAGTACACAATAAGAAAAAATTTTGTTACTTCAGTCAGAAAATGATACTTTTTAACAAAACTTAATAACCATAAATCAATAAGACTTCTAAAGATTTAAAAGTTATATAACATCTGATGTTAATGAACAGAATTTAAATACCTACAACTATTTCAAAAGCTATAAATATTATGGAGATTTTATTTAATAAGGATTAAAAACTTATTCTAATTTTACGTTTAGATTATTTCAAATTAACATAAGAAATATATGTATGTTAATTAATGTTGACAAATACGGACTTGTACCATATATTGTATAAAGTAGTAAACAATATTTTTGGTCAAACAATTTTATTTTCCAAATCTAAAATCTCATAATTCCCCTATAGAATATCTATACATTAAACTTCAATGTACTTTCAGATGCCATGATGCATTTCAAATCCTTAAATGTTCAAATGAATACCTTTATATTCATTTAATAGGCTTTTCAAAAATGGTATAATGACACATTTTCATATTATTCATCGTATATTTACAACCCACAGCTGAAGCTCGTCAATGGATGTTATTTCAAGTGTGTTTTTTCATGCAACATATTTCTTCTGTATTTCAATTTTTATTATATAAATATGTCGACATCTGCTATTTCCTTATAACGATGAGAATATTAAAAGCTATAAAAAATATGATATTGGGACATTAAATCACCAAGCTTTTATTTCTCCACAAAACATATTGCATCTCAAAGCATCAGTCTTACTGTTGATGACGAGTGTTGAGTAGACCTTTATATGTCTTTTGGGTTTTTGTGTCACTTGGTTACTATACTGTCTCATGGAGTCCATATAGAGGAGACTTTGTCACAAGTTTGTTTCTTACAAAGAACAGAGTCATTAAAGTTATGACAATATAACATTTCAGCTCAACTTAGTCATAATATTTTTTTACAAAATATTACTTTGTCATAACTAACAATGTATTTTTTTATTATTATTTTTTTTTTATCAAATTCACATTTATCATGTTAGAAACAAATTATATTCATCTCCATACACCAATTTTTGTGATGTAGATTTATATCACCAATGGATCTAAAAATCTTTTTTCCAGGGTTTTGTATTCAATTCTTTTTTGGAAGGAGGATTATTTCAATGTTAATGCCTGTAGACTCTAAATGATACATGTGTAAGAAGATACAAATGGTGTAAATCTAACTTGACAATAGCCAGAAGTTGTACAGAGCAAAAAACAGAAACCACAAGAACTTAACAATAAATAACCTCTTAAAAACAACAAGAATTGGCCCAAATTTTATGACTGATCACTTCTTTTGTTCTTGATAATCAAATTTGACATAGTAATCATTACTGATGACATATAATGCTCAGTAGGTAATTATAACTGTATAATAAATGGTCGAACTCAGGTGTTAACTTCAGTTTTATACATATGTATGCATTGTGTATTACACAGTAATTGTCCATAAACAATCTTGTATGTAGAACTGCAAAAAACAATCTTTTCTTTTCTTATCTGCATTGTTTTGTGTTTTTTGTCAATGTTTTTAGTAAACTGTTGGGGATAGACAGTACATAACTATTTTGATTTGTTATAAGCAAAACTCAGCAGTTTGTTTTTACCATACCAGTACTTCAATGTTCTCCTTTGAGCTTACAGCATGCTTAACCTGACTAAGTACTATGGTTTGCAAGTACATGTAATTAGAAATTGTACACCAGATATTCAGAAAAAACACAGGAAAGTCTTCAATGTTGTCTTTTTCTCACCAAATATATGTATTGCCATTATTAAAACGATTTTAATTTTTCAAATATTACCTGTAGCATTCAATCTATGCTTATAATGTCTAGTGTTCTTGTCCCTTTAAATACAGAAATTAAGTAGAACTTTGGGCAGAAAAATCAGTTTCAGGATTCTAAAGTAATAATGTAATAGTGTGACAGGGTCTGGGACTCAACCAAATGCTTCCTTTAATTTATGTATTCTAGAATTAAGAGTCCTACCTTCTTTATATATTAACTATAAAATGTTCAATAAGATTAATTAGAAAACAACTCTAACAAAACAGAAAAGATTTTTAGGTCAAAATAATTATTGGTTCACCTTCTGATTCATTTGAAATTTTGAATAAGTCACCCAATTGATTCAGTATGAAACTTAGTGTGATTTCTTGAGACGGAATCAGAATGAATCCCCTGCAATCACAATTTTAAAGGCATATTTCCCTTCTATTTTTCCCTTATAAATATAAATACTAGATTCTTATCAACTTTTTCTAAAAAATGGATCTAGGGGATAGGATGAATAGACTTACACTAGTGGACATTTATGTATATCAGAAAAGACCTAGGTTGGATGTACATGTGGTAAATTTCTTGCAAATTTGTTTGTTTGTTGTTATTGTTTGGAGACTGTCTCATTGACATTTACTATTATCTTAAGGAGATAATGGTTGCTTTTAACAAGTTCATAAAACTATAAAATATAGACATCTCATTTAAAGCTTTACCAAGTAATTGAAATGATTTCCCTTTGATTGAAATATTTTAACTTTTATTCTATTTTAATAATATAACAGATTTCTTTAAAATGTTTTGATCTGATTAAAAATCTCATCAGGGTTTTTATTTTCAACTTTTTTCACAGGATAAATTTTCACTCACCACTGAGAAAGTAAAACTTTTCCAGACTTATTATTCACAACAAAATCACCAGCTGAGGTAACATGTGGATAGGATTAAATCCAGATATTTGTGTTGTAAACACTTTTCACAAGTTTAATGACAATAAATAACAAAAATACTCCACCTTTTATGGCAAATTTATTCCAAACTTAAAATCGATTTTAACAAATAAGATTTCCAAATTAATGTCACATTGTCACAAATGTCACCAATACACATTTTTGTCCTCCAGTTGTGTGTATTCCTCTCAGTTTGTGTATTCACTTTAGTAGAAATCCTGCAAGTGCACTGCTCTTATGCTAGGAAAAAGCTCTTGGTTAGTTAGTATAAGGTGAGGAAGGATTTTCCGTTGCATGCTCAAATCTTCGTTGTGATCCTCAAGATGGTCGCGATCGGTAGGAAAGGTTTCAGGATTAAGACAGGGTAACAAAAAATTAAATAACGGGATTATAGGAAGGAATGCGTATGTTCGATATATATATACAAATGTACAGATTTATTTTTCTACGGGAAAATATCGTAGGAAAAGAAGAATTGATTTTTTTTCCATTTACCGTGATTTTAATAAGAATTAAAAAGGTGTTTTACAGTACACACATGCAAGGTAAACAGTTTTATGAAAAGCAACGTGAATATATTTAGCTATTCTAATACACCACTAATGCACGTGCGTTCATGGCAACGTGCGCGCATGATGAAAAAAAATGAATGGAAAAATAAAAGAAAACATGTTAACAAAGTGAAAGGTAAAAAGCTAAAAAGGAAATGTGATGTAACATACCTTTGGATAAACTAGCAAGGGATAGGCAGGTTGGTTGACAGTAAATATAACACACAAGAATACACAGCCAGGGAAAAGATGCAATTAGGTGAGCAGTGCGGGAATATAATAATCATGTGTAGAAGACCGAATTACTCAAATCGATTATTCCGCTAGTTCATAAGAGAGCTAATTATTAACAAGACTTGTGAACTTTAATGAACCATAATCGTGCATTTATTGTCAAAAGGCTAATTATTGGAATATTTCATTGTGTATTTCATTTATTTGGTGATGTTTTGAGACTTAATTAATGAAAGGCGGATGAATACATTGAACCCCATGTTTGAGGTCACTACTGACAGGTGCTTGTCACATGACCAAACAAATGGCAGCCTCCACGATTGCAAACTTTGGAGAAAGTGTTATGGCAAATTTTACAACAATGATTTCGTTTTAAAACTTTCAAATTGATTATGACGGCTATAGATGGTTTATTTAACAGTTTTCTCAACTTTGACAGGGTTGTCGAGTTTCCTCAACTGAAAGGTAACACAGGAATGATACCTGCGAACTAGATCACAACACCTGAACTGTGCAAGGTTGAATTTTATCGCCTGCTGTTTATTTTCGTCAAATTTTAAGGCAATTGAAAGATAACTATTAGACCATCGCTTATCTATCTTATCAAGGTCAGAAAATCAATGGAATATTACAGAAATCAATATTAGCATTGTAATATTCAAATAAATAAATAATCTAGGTTTGAGGGGCTAGACTGGGACTTGACAATATGATATTTTGATATTGCATGGACATTTAAGTTGATTTAGTGATTGTTTGTTGGCTGTTTAATATCTACTATGGCCAATTTTAACCAAACATGGCAAGAATGAATACTGATGAATGTAGAGAAAGGAGGACATTCTGCACAATATTGAAATAAAAATCTATTTTACATGATTTTCAGAATGCACAATTTTGATTTAATCTTAAATAATCTTTGTGTGGCTTAGGTTAACATATTTGTTCAAGGATTGACAAGCTGGAGGAAATTTCATTGGGAACTCCTTACTGGAAGAACAGTTATTTGTGTGCAGTCATGGATGGAGACTTAAGGAGACTTTTCAAATTTTAGAATGTATATATATACAAAATATTCTTTCACTGATATAAATTTTAATATTTGACAGGTGACAAATTTTTTAAATGTTTACAACAATGTGTGTAATTTTACAGAGATCAAATAAACATTTCAGCCATTATGGCACAGCTTCTTTTATAATAAAACTTACCACTAAAAAAGTAAAAATGAAGTAAACTTTTATGTGAAAGTGATCATGGAATGTTGATACACATTTTTATGTGAAAACTTCCAATATTTTCCATGCATGCAGAGGAGTGCATTCAATATAAAAGCGTCAACAAATGAATAAAGGGACATTTAAAAGAGAGGCAAAAGATATCAAAGGGACATTCAAACTCATAAGTGGAAAATAAACTGACAACGCCATGGCTAAAAAAGAATAAGATCAACCGACAAACAATAGTACACAAAACACAACATGGAAAACTAAAGACTGAGCAATACGAACCCCACCAAAAATTGGGGGTGATCTTAGGTGCTCCGGAAGGGTAAGCAGATCCTGCTCTACATGTGGGTCAATATCCCTAAAGGGCCTCAAATTGAGGAACTCAAAAGTTGTGTGTAAACAAAAAATCTCTGTGTATTGAAATTGGACATGTTTCTATTTTTAACAAGTGACTGAGCTTAACCATTTGTGTTGATTTAGAAAGTAGAGGACCATAGAATAAATGTGTAAAAACTATGGAGTTATTAAATGAATTCAAAATATTAAATTTTCGAAGAACTGATAGTGTGAAAATAGGGATTTTTTACCACAAGGAACCGCATCACGAAAGGATTTTCGGGGTATGCTAATTTACGGAAAATGAATCACACTTCATACCCCAAAAATTTAACCACATCGGTGAAAATGTCTCAGCTTCGAAACGAGCCATCATACATATCCAAGTTTATGATATGGACTGAGCTACAGAAGAAAACATTACCATTACCATATCGCCTATGGGAAATCAATTGCGCATATTGCCCCGTGTGGCACCTGTCGTGTTGCTCATGTTAGTACAAACCCGGTAATTAGTGTAATTAAAGTGTACCACATAATCTGAAAAGTTTTGCACAACATCTAAGTTGATGTCTTCCTTCTGTAATGAATGGAAGACCTGCAAAGATGATTCTCTCTTTATTTGAATAAGGTTAAAAAAAATTGCTGTCAGGGGTAATCTTGGACTCTTTGTTCCAATTGTCCAAACTGTTCTCTTCTGAAACTACAATGTACAAGCCCTTATGACATGTATGATAAGTAATATTAAGAATCAATGAAAACATAGCCGTTCCATGCTTAATTTCATTACTGTTCACTGAAATGATTATAATGATATCCCATTGGTTGTAATTGACTATCCTTTGTTTCTGGATGTTTTTAGCCAGTCACAACTATTTGATGTACATCTGTACATTTTTTAATGTAGGCATGTAAAAACTGGTAAAATATTAAATAAGTTTAATTTTAGTTTTTAGGTAAATTCATAGTGCCTAAGTACTTAAACTTTTAATTTTTCTTTTTGTTTTGTTTGTGTCAGGTAAATGTAGAATAGAAGACTAAATTTATCATTTGTAAAGCCTTCCTTCTTCCTATTAATCAATAAAGCCAAAAATCGAGTAATGATTGTGGAATATATATTTGTTAAAGAGAAGGCTAACAAGGGATAGGATGATGACTTACATGTAGATGCCCATCAGGAGTATTCAATTTTAATAACTCTGCAGTCTGTTACTCTTCCAGATGACATAATGAATGATGAGCAATCAAATGACAAATCTGATAAATTTAAGTTCTTAAGATTTATGGATGAAAAATAGTTGTGAGTGAACATATATTGCAATCGATTTTAGTAGGTTGTTATATCTTCTGCAACAAATGACTCAAATTGCGTGACATGGGGCTGCTGGTTGCTCACCAAAAAGAGGTAACAGCCTAAAATATTGGTATAAAGCTTTATATTTCAAAATGAAGAAGACCTGCCTATATACTACATATTCATCAGTTTTGCTTTTTTCATCTGGCATATGTCCATTACCCTTGACCTCATTTTCATGGTTCAGCGACTGCTTAAAAACCTCTATCATGTGATTCTCTCACAAGGGCAACTTTTTTTGGTTTAAAGAATCATTGTCAGGTAAACATGTCCTTCAGACCTTGACCTCATTTCATGGATCAGTTGTTAACGTTAGGTCTGTTTCTCGGATATTATATGCTATAGGTTAATTTTGTGTATGGAAAGATTGTAAGGTGAACATGTTTGTTTGGCAAAGTTCATCTGACAATGACCTAATTTTTTTATGGTTCATCAAGGCCAGCATTTATTTTCAGGGTAAAGTCAGTATCTCAGATATTCAAAGCCATAAATCAACCATAATTGCTGTATGGAATAATTGTAAGGGGCACATGTCTGTCTGACATTATTCATCTGACCTTTACCTTATTTTTATGGTTCATTGGTCAACATTAAGTTTTCCTGGCAAGATCTGTTTCTCGTATACTTTAAGCAAAATATAATCTATTTATGGAATGGTTGTTAGGCCAAATAAAAATATATGTGTGGTTCCAGTTACCCTATCGACCCAAGTTTAAACCCCCCAACCCTAGAACTTTTTCTTCCATTTCCAAATAATAAATTTTGAATGATTCCATTTATATGTATAAAACCAGAATAGGACTTGGTGAAAACACATTTTTTTTCCTGGATTTTGACAATCAAAAGAAAAAAAAATGCGGACCTACCGTCCCTATTTTTAGCTCACCAAACATGGCATGAATGTTCCTTATGAGGTGCTGACCAAGTGTTGTTACTTTGCAGTCAGTCCATCATCCAAGATGGCCGCCAGCGGGGGACTTAGTTTAACATAGGATCTTATGGGAAATACATACAAATGTCTTCTTTTAGAGAACCACTGAATGGAATGAAACAAAACATGGCATGAATGTTCCTTATGAGGTGCTGACCAAGTGTTGTTACTTTGCAGTCGGTCCATCATCCAGGATGGCCGCCAGCGGGGGACATAGTTTAACATAGGACCCTATGGGAAATACATACAAATGTCTTCTTTTAGAGAACCAGTGAATGGAATGAAACCAAACATGGCATGAATGTTCCTTATAAGGTGCTGACCAAGTGTTGTTACTTTGCAGCCGATCCATCATCCAAGATGGCTGCCAGTGGGTGACTGTGTTTAACATAGGGCCCTATGGGAAATACATACAAATGTCCTCTTTTAAAGAACCACTGAATGGAATGAAACCAAACATGGCATGAATGTTCCTTATGAGGTGCTGACCAAATGTTGTTACTTTGCAGTTGGTCCATCATCCAAGATGGCCGCCAGTGGGTGACTGTGTTTAACATAGGACCCTATGGGAAATACATACAAATGTCTTCTCTTAGAGAACCAGTGAATGGAATGAAACCAAACATGGCATGAATGTTCCTTATAAGGTGCCGACCAAGTGTTGTTACTTTGCAGCCGATCCATCATCCAAGATGGCCGCCATTGGGTGACTGTGTTTAACATAGGACCCTATGGGAAATACATACAAATGTCTTCTTTTAGAGAACCACTGAATGGAATGTCCCCAAACATGGCATGAATGTTCCTTATGAGGTGCTGACCAAATGTTGTTACTTTGCAGTTGGTCCATCATCCAAGATGGCCGCCAGTGGGTGACTGTGTTTAACATAGGATCTTATGGGAAATACATACAAATGTCTTCTCTTAGAGAACCAGTGAATGGAATGAAACCAAAAATGGCATGAATGTTCCTTATAAGGTGCTGACCAAGTGTTGTTACTTTGCAGCCGATCCATCATCCAAGATGGCCGCCATTGGGTGACTGTGTTTAACATAGGACCCTATGGGAAATACATACAAATGTCTTCTTTTAGAGAACCACTGAATGGAATGTCCCCAAACATGGCATGAATGTTCCTTATGAGGTGCTGACCAAATGTTGTTACTTTGCAGTTGGTCCATCATCCAGATGGCCACCAGCGGGGGACGTAGTTTAACATAGGACCCTATGGGAAATACATACAAATGTCTTCTTTTAGAGAACCAGTGAATGGAATGGAACCAATCATGGAATGAATGTTCCTTATGAGGTGTTGACCAAGTGTTGTTACTTTGCAGCCGATCCATCATCCAAGATGGCCGCCAGCGGGGAACTTAGTTTAACATAGGACCTTGTGGGAAATTCATACAAATGTCTTCTTTTAGAGAACCACTGAATGGCATGAATGTTCCTTATATGAGGTGCTGACCAAGTAATGCTACTTTGTTGCCGATTTACTGTTCAAGATGGCCACCAGGATATTTTATTAAATAACGGGATCAATATTAAACCAAATTTGGCCTCAATCTTTTTTTTTGTATCTGTTATGATTTTTATACGACCGCAAAAATAAAAAAAATTTTGGTCGTATATTGGTATCACGTTGTCGTTGTTGTCAGAAGAAGAAGAATACAGATGGTTTCCGGATAATAACTTTAGTATAAATAAATAGAAATCAATAAAATTTTAACAAAAGGTTTATAACAACTAAAGGAAGGTTGGGATTGATTATGTGGGTTATGGTCCCAACTATTTAGGAATTACGGGCCCAAATAAGCATTTTTGTAGTTTCCAGACAATAACTTGTGTTAAAGTGTATGAATCTCTCTGAAATTATACCACAAGTTTCCATACTACAAAAGGATGGTTAGGATTGACTTTAGGGGGTTATGGCTCAAACCATTTAGGAATTAGGGGCAAAAAAAGGGGAAAAACAAGGGTTTTTCTGGTTAAAGGACAATTGAGACAATTTAAAAGCAGTGTAAGGGAGGTAATCAAAATCCAAATCAATTTAAATAACAATGTTTGATTACCTCCCTTACACTGCTTGTAAATTATGTATTAAGAAATGATGATTGTCTGAGAAACTGACCATAACTTGAGGGAAGGAATTATTTTTTTGAATAAGGGAAAGGGGGGGGGAGATGAAAAAAATTGGAGGGGGACAATTTTTCTCATTTCAGATTTCAGAAATTATAAAGAAAATTTTTTCAAATATTTTTTTTTTGGGGATTAATATTCAACAGCATAGTGAACAGCATAATGTATTGCACAAACGCAAAAAAACAGGGTAAAATTTTTTTTTTGGGGGGGGGGGGGTAAATTCGTATAGTGTATTGCACAAAAGCAAAAAATTAAATATAGATTCAAATCATATAACCAATTTGAAGTTATTTGACTACAGTTATTCTGTGTCAGAAACCTATTATGTGTCAAAAATTTAATTACAATCCAAATTCATACCTGTATCAAGCGTGAATATTGTGTCCATTTTGGCCCCAACTTTTCAGGGTTGGACATCTGTGGTCATATCCAGCTGCGCTCAGCGAAGCAATTTATTATCTATCTTTACATGATTTCTAAAACCAAAGTAGAGTCAGGTGAATGACACAGGCTCTTGAGAGTCTCTAGTTTCAGGATGTTACTAGAACCACAAATATATTTTTATTTTACCTTAGGCATGTTAGGGGTACATGTCCATCTGTAAGGGTTCATCTGTCCTTGACCTCATTTTCGTGGATCAGTAATCGAAGTCTTTGTGGTTACGTCCATTTCTAAGATACTATAAACAATATGTCAGCTATTGATGAATGGAATGATTGTAATGTGAACATGTCCATGTGGCAGAGTTCATCTTAGGGGTACATATCTAAGACACTATAAACAATATGTCAGCTATTGGTGATTGGAATGATTGTAAGGTGAACATGTCCATGTGGCAAAGTTCATCAGACCCTGAATTTGGATGATATTGAGTTTATGTGATACCTATTATAAAACTTTATCTGAAATACTTTCAACACAAAATTCTACTATTGTAATTGGTATAGCAGGGAATATAGTGAGTTGTATACTGTTGATTTTTATATTATTGTACTAATGATATTCTAGGTCATAAATAGGAAGGACTCTTATATATATATATATTCAGCTTAAAGTTTAAAAAATAGAGTTTTCACCTGCATTAGTCAAAATTCTTACAAGTATGCACCAAAATAATGGCATATTATTGCAGAATTATTAAAAAAAAAACAGTTATTCAAGTGTATGCTAGTACTTATACATGTATGTAAAGCTTCATATTTTCCATTTCTATTTGAATATTCGTTTTCAAATACTGTGAATTCATTATTGTTCGTGGGAATACCAATATTTGTGGGTATAGGTTAATCATGAATCTAAATGTCCAACAAAGCATACATTTTCTATAAGCTGTATGGAGACTTGGCCAAACCAAGAAATATCAACAAGAGTATTTTTTTTCAATCCACGAAAATTGGTTTCCACGAAAATAGATGATTCACAGTATTTAAAATTCTTAACTGTTTCAGATTCTGTGTACGTTGACCATGCCGGTACAACATTGTACAGTAAAACTCAGATTGAGGCTCATCATAAAGAATTGCTAAGTAACCTGTATGGGAATCCACACAGTCGTAGCCAAAGTAGTCGGTTAACAACTGATGCCATTGATCAAATTAGATACAGGTACAAGAAAATTATTTGTTATAAAAACAATATTAATAATTGGCTTTCAGACTGTAAAAAATATTGTTTGTAAGCAAGTACTTTGTTGACATTCAAGTCAGACTTAAACCACTCAGTAGTTTTAAGTACATACGCTGATTTACAACTGACAGTGTGAGCTGTTGCTATCCCCTGCTTTAATCAAAATAGTCTATAGGGTGTTTAGTGTAAGATTTATCCTGATCTGTAATGTTTCTGTCAATCAACCAATATGGCCACCATTGCTACCAAAAATAGAACACAGGGTAAAACATGCAATATTTCTTGCTTCCTTTTAAATTTTGCTTTTTTTCAGTTTGTAGTTGTGTAATAAGTAGCCATTGATAAGCTGCAATTTTATTTACATAATTTCATCTCTTTCACTTAGAACATTTCATTAAAATAACAATTTTGTTCACCATTTTGAGATGTTGAGCAGTGGTTAACATTAACAATGAATCAGATCTGAAATTTGGAGTGCATTTCTTTCTAACCAAAGTTTTGTAAATTTTGTGTGCTGTTTGTTATTGTTTGCTGAACATTACAAAAGTAAAAAAAAAGCATCGTTTAATCAGTGTTTACTGATCCTGTTTGAACTGTCAAAAATACATGCACATTTTTAGCGAGTGCATAGTTTTGTTAAAGTTATGCAAACGTATGTTAGAAACAAATGATGTAAACGTGTGCATGCTGAACCTTTTGTATTGTTTGTGTTAGAAAGAAATGCACAAATATCTCAAAGATTTAGATATTATTCTTATCCTAAAACATTTATTCATTTATGTTTAGCGTTTTGCAGCTGTTTAATACAACAAGTGAGGATTATACAGTGATATTTACATCTGGGTGCACTGGTGCACTCAAGCTTGTAGCAGAGTCCTTTGACTTTTACACAGAAAACAGTTACCATAGCACAAAAGAAAGAAGTGGAATAGAAAAATGTGACAAAGAGAAAGTTGATGTAGTAGTCGATGATGACCCAGGAAATCATGAGTTCAAGGTCAAATCAGGATGTTTTGCCTATTTATTAGATAACCACACTTCTGTACAGGGGATGAGAGAAATCGTAAATGCAGAGGACAATTTATGTGTTGAAGAAACTACAGATGAAAATTTCAAGATACATCAAGTTAAAAAAGGGAAAAGTAAAGAAGGAAACTCATTGTTTGTGTATCCAGCCCAGTCTAATTATTGTGGACGTAAATATCCAATGAAATGGATCGACAAAATACATCAAGGTCAAATGCCATTTCAGAGGTTGTTTCCATGGAAATGGTTTGTTGTACTGGATGCAGCTTCTTATGTCAGTACAAGTCACCTTGATCTAAGCCTAAACAAACCTGATTTTGTCACACTTTCATTCTACAAAATGTTTGGATTTCCAACAGGAATAGGTGAGTTTGCTTCCAGAATATAAAATAAACCAAGGGACATAACTCTTATTATAAAAAGATCATATTGTTTTGAGTCTTAGCCTTATCAAGAAGTACCCTCATATGTAGGCACTCAAACCACAGGTGTAATACTGCCAATGATTGCAGTTATATATATAAATGTAGGTCTAAGAAGTATCTTAAACACAATTTAGGAGATGTGGTATGATTGCCAATGAGACAACTATCCTCCAGTGTTCAAATGACGTGAATATAAACAGTTATTTTAAATATACATGATCAATGCAATACAGGTTGTATATTGAATTTTTATCTTATGTGCATTGTTTACATTAAACAGCTGTTTAGAAGGTAACTTTTGCATTTAGGTCTTTTGGAAGATTGAATGGTTTTTGTTATAAGTATCAGGGCTCACACAACTTCAGAATTATAGAGTATGCATTAACTAGGATTTTGTTTACTCTGTCCCCCTTTCTGATCTGTTTCCTTGGCAATTGCTTTTTGTATAGATCTGTCTCCTTGGCAATTGCTTTTTGTATAGATCTGTCTCCTTGGCAATTGCTTTTTGTATAGATCTGTCTCCTTGGCAATTGCTTTTTGTATAGATCTGACTCCTTGGCAATTTCTTTTTGTATAGATCTGTCTCCTTGGCAATTGCTTTTTGTAAAGATCTGTCTCCTTTGCAATTGCTTTTTGTATAGATCTGTCTCCTTGGCAATTGCTTTTTGTATAGATCTGACTCCTTGGCAATTACTTTTTGTATAGATCTGTCTCCTTGGCAATTGCTTTTTGTATAGATCTGTCTCCTTTGCAATTGCTTATTGTATAGATCTGTCTCCTTTGCAATTGCTTTTAGTATAGATCTGTCTCCTTGGCAATTGCTTTTTGTATAGATCTGTCTCCTTGGCAATTGCTTTTTGTATAGATCTGTCTCCTTGGCAATTGCTTTTTGTATAGATCTGTCTCCTTGGCAATTGCTTTTTGTATAGATCTGACTCCTTGGCAATTTCTTTTTGTATAGATCTGTCTCCTTGGCAATTGCTTTTTGTAAAGATCTGTCTCCTTTGCAATTGCTTTTTGTATAGATCTGTCTCCTTGGCAATTGCTTTTTGTATAGATCTGACTCCTTGGCAATTACTTTTTGTATAGATCTGTCTCCTTGGCAATTGCTTTTTGTATAGATCTGTCTCCTTTGCAATTGCTTATTGTATAGATCTGTCTCCTTTGCAATTGCTTTTAGTATAGATCTGTCTCCTTGGCAATTGCTTTTTGTATAGATCTGTCTCCTTGGCAATTGCTTTTTGTATAGATCTGTCTCCTTTGCAATTGCTTTTTGTATAGATCTGTCTCCTTGGCAAATGCTAATCCAATGTATGGAGAATGAAAATTAATCAGCCCTTGCTGGTTCCTTTTTTACATTAAAGTTTTAAACTTAAAAGATCAAATCATGTTTGACATTTTTATTGCTTAGTAAAACTTTAAATATTTTAGTTTGTCTATTTTGTTCTCTCTATCATGGTATGGATGTTGTTAATTTGTTAGTGAGATGTACTAGTCAGAAACACTCCTAGGTATGTGTAGGTATGATTGACGGGTCGTTAAGGTATATTATATTATGTAATATTAGTTTGATATAATACACAAAAAATGTTTGATTGAAGGAATCTGCTGCTTATTTCTAACAGCCTTCCAAAAAACTTCATGTTTTTATTCTATTATTATTTTTTTCATTTTCATTAGGCGAAACAAACTAAAATATGTGTGTTTGGTTTCTACAACATGCTTGTAAAAGGTACAGATAGAGATGGTAAAATGTAAAATAACATAAATACTGAACTCCAAGGAAAATTCAAAATGGAAAGCCCATTAAAGATGTTTATTTAGTTATTTGGGTTTTTTCACTTCTTACATACTTATTTGTCAGAAATAGTTTCATATTCATTCATTCAATAAAATGATAAATGCTGGAGAAGTACAACTAAAACACAGTGTTTAATGTCGTAGAAACCACCGGTCTTTTGGGCGTAAGCCTTATATCTTTGAAACACATATACAGTAACCATATACACCTTCTTAACATTGTGTTTTTCTTCAGTCCTATCAGAACATAGTGTTCAATATGTGTTTTTTTTGTTTGCTATTCATATCACTTAGTGGTTTTATACTTGTTAATCAAATTTGGGGAGCAGATAGTTGTGCCTATGTAGGCCTGTACTTCTGAAACAAATAGTTCCTGTAAGATAACTTTAATTTGCTTCAGAATTAAGCCTTATAGCTTTGCATCATTATGACCTACCAAGAAATGCAGGTCAAATCAAATTTTCACTGTTGTAACAATAGCCCTTCAAAAGTGATACCTTCAATTTTCTATATGATAATTAATGCTCACTCTGCAATAGGACATTTAGCAATAGAGCATGAATGCAGTTTATATTAAATTTCTATTTTGCTGATGTAACCATTTCAGAATAATGTTCCTCGAATTGTCCCAAAATGATCAAACTGGTTTAGGATTATAAAGTATAAGAACTAATATCTTGGCTGCAGCATTACTACCTACCATGTAATTACATTTATTCCAATTGTTTTACTGTCGCCACAGTTATCACCAAGAAGTTACACCCCAGAATTGTAACTTGAGCTAGCTTCTAAGTACAACCTCCTTACTTTGCAAAATAATTTCCCAATATGAAATATAGGTCAAAGCTGATTTCCACCTATGCCACAATTATAGTTCCAGTTATCTCCTTTACCAGGTAATAATGTTAGTTTGCTATAAACTCCCATCTAATAAATTTGTATCATTTCAGAGGTCTTTTATTTGAGTTGCTTCTAAATTGTGAAATTGATTATTGAATTACCAGATTATAACATTAATTTGCTATGAGCTAGGATCTTAAAGGCCTTTAATTATTTTAACTTTACTACCAGTGTGACATTTGAAGAGCATCTGACATGCCAACTTTTGTTTGTTTCAATTGTGTTTGCATTCTGTCCATTTACAGTCATTAGATAAAACTTTATTTTCCAGCTTCACATTCACCCCTTATATTTCATTTTTGAATTTTTTTTAATATTTACTTTTTTTTTTGAGGGGGAGGGATTTGACTTTGATACCCTTTAGGGAATAAGGGACAAAACCTCAATCCATATCAGCCATCATCCCTTTGGTCTCGGGTTGATACAGTATTATTTTCTATGTATTACAATCTGTCTATTTATGGTTGTTTACATAATGCCAGAACAGCTATCTTATAAATATAAGCTGTAATAAATAAACTAAACATTTGTCAATAGTTGATGCAGACTGGTAAATTAAAGAGAACAAAGTTTAGAAATAATGGATGTATCTCCCAGTAATACATAATGTCCTGTATTTCTGTAGTAGTGCAATATATGATATACACGTAGATTTGTTCTTCCATTGATTTCCTTCACTGATCATGTATCATTGATATCCTACCGAGATATCTTAGATGAAAGATTTGATTTATGTAATTATTATTTCTACTATCAATACAAGTTTCTGATGATGACGTGTTAGATGTTTCTGATGATGATGTGTTAGATGAACAGGTAAAGGGGTATTTATATATGAACAGATTAGGTCTGTTGATGCCAATACTCCTGGATTGAGGACAAATTGTATTTTCCTGGAAACTAGTACTTGATTTTTGTCGAGCCTGCGACTTTTGTCGCAGAAAGCTCGACATAGGGATAGTGATCCGGCGGCAGCGGCGTTAGCTAACTTCTTAAAAGCTTTATATTTTAGAAGCTAGAAGACCTGGATGCTTCATACTTTGTATATAGATGCCTTATGTTACTAAGTTTCCGTCTGTCATATGTCCATTGTCCTTGACCTCATTTTCATGGTTCAGTGACTACTTGAAAAAAAAGTCAACATTTTTTGTAATGTTAATTTCTTTCTTATTATAAGTAATAGGATAACTATATTTAGTATGTGCGTTCCTTGCAAGGTCCTCATGCCCGTCAGACAATTTTCATTTGCCCTCGACCTCATTTCATGGATCAGTGAACAAGGTTAAGTTTTCGTGGTCAAGTCCATATATCAGATACTATAAGCAGTAGGTCTACTATATTTGGTATATGGAATGATTGTAAGGTGTACATGTCCAACTGGTAGGTGTCATCTGACCTTGACCTCTTTTTCATGGTTCAGTGGTCAAAGTTAGATTTTTGAGTTTTGGTCTTTTTTTCTAATACTATATGCAATAGGTCAACTATGAATGGTGTATGGAAATATTTTATGATGTACATGTCAGTCTCACAGGTTTTATTTGACCTTGATCTCATTTTCACGGTTCATTTCTCAGTGTTAAGTTTTTGTGTTTTGGTCTGTTTTTCTTCAACTATAAGCAATAGATCAACTATATTTGATGTATGGAAGGATTGTAGGGTGTATATGTCTGTCTGGCAGGTATCATCTGACCTTGACCTCATTTTCATGGTTCATTGGTCAATGTTAAGTTTTCATGGTTAAGTTTGTTTCTTAGATACTATAAGCAATAGGTCAACTATATTTAATGCATAGATTGATTGTAAGGTGTACATGTCTGTCTGGCATGGTTCATCTGACCTTGACCTCATTTTCATGGTTCATTGGTCAATGTTAAGTTTTCTTGTTTAAGACTGTTTCTTAGAAACAATAAGCAATAGGTCAACTATGTTTGGTTTATTGAACGATTGTAAGGTGTACATGTATTTCTAGTTTGGTTTGTCTGACCTTGACCTCATTTTCTTGGTTCATGTTAAGTTTATGTGTTACTTGTAGTAAAGCTTTGTATTTAGGACTATCAACATAAAATCAATGGTTAGTAAAGAAGGCGAGACATTTCAGCGTGTGCACTCTTGTTCTGGTTTTGACAAATTTTTGCATACAAGCCTATAGGATATTTGTACTTCCCTTAACACTTTACCTATGAAATCCATACAAATTAGTTTTCCACAAAAAGTGCTGAATCCACAGTATGTGCAAATATTTTATAATGTGGATTCGTAATTATTTTTGTGGGTACCAGTTTTCATGGATTGAGGGAAAATTGTATTTTCATGGATATTTGATTTCATGGTTATGCCAAAGTTTACAAACAAACCTATAGAAAATGAGTACTTGGTTGAACATTTAAATTCGTGGTTCACCTTTACTCATGATATCCATGAAAATTGGTATCCCATGAATAATAATGAATCCACAGTATACTATAAATGGGGATTAGTAGTCAAAATTAGAGACATTACAGCAAAATGCAAAAACCAGCAACAACCAACAGGCCAAGGAAAACATTCAAAGAGAATGAATTGATTAAACTGATTGGCTTAAGATAGCCTGAGTTCAGCTATTGTACTGTCCAAAAAAATAGCTATCTTGGTAGTACACTTTCAAGATAATTTAAGTTATTGTTTCTTTGGATGGCTAGATTGTGAGTAGCTGCTAGAGTGTAATTAATACCACTGATAAAGCAGTTTAGTCACAAATTTATAACCTAATTTATTCAGAAATTATTCATCTATGCAACATATTGTTCACAGCATGGAGCAGGGAACATAGAACTTTGAGACATCTGTGGGTCCATTCATCTGTGTACCTATCTAGACCTATGTTCTGTCTTCTGAGGGCCCAACATTTTTTGTCTGCTCTCTATGACATTTATATCAAAGTTTTATTTCAGTAATGTCTCTGACTAGTTGGAAAATTAGTCCAATCCACTTTTTTGGAGGAGTTGTGCCCCTTGGAAATGTAAATTATATGGAAAATTGCATTGGGACTGCTCTTAAGCTACATTTATGTACAATTTTTTTGAAATTTCTAAACATGGTTTATTTAAGCAATTTTTGGAAAGAGTTCAAAATTTAGGGCTGATCAATTTTTTTTATGGGAGTAATTACCTTTCAAATGTAAATATTTTTGAAAAATTGCATTGAAATTGATCTTACAATATAAAAAAGGAGATGTGGTATTATTGCCAATGAGACCTAGCCACCTGAGACCAAATGACATTGATCTTTGGAAATTTAAGGGCACTGTAGGCCTTCAAAAATGAGCAATGATAATGTGGTGGGATTCATTCAGATTTTTATGAAATTTGTATTTGTCAAAATCAGACTAGATCACCTACTATTTTTACAGAAGTTATAACCCTTGGAAATTAAAATTATTTGAAAAATTGCATTGAATTGAGGGCTTTTATGCCCAAATCTATTCTCGCTTTCCAATTATTTTTTTTTTTTATTTCATTTTTTTTTTTTGATTATTCAGGAGCTTTACTTGTGAAAAATGAGTCTGCAGAAGTTCTCAAGAAAGCATACTTTGGTGGTGGTACGGTTGGAGTTAGCTCCCCTACTGAATGTACCCATATCAATTGTTCCAGTTTATCTGAAAGGTAAGTTACATGTGGTTCACCTTTAAAGTTATCCCTACTGCAAGTTTCCATATGAACAGGAAGTTTATCTGACAACTGACTAATCTTCCCAATGAAGGTTAACGTTATACCATTTATATAACATGTAATGTTTTGGAGATTTTGCTCATCACATGATGACTTGATTGTCCATCATGAAATATATATAAAAAAAAACTGAAACCAGAATCCACCTTAACCATTAATGTTGACTTCACCTGAAAAAATCCTATGAAGTTAAAGCTTGTGATTTTTTTCTCATAAAGCAACATGGATATCGTTACTATAAATAGAACATAAAATAGAAAAAATGGTTTGTATTTACAGCTGTACCTGTAAAATATTAATCTGGTTTCTTATTAACAGTTATGTAACAATCTATAGTGACATACAAGCTGTGAGTTTTGTTCTGCTGATCAACTTCAGACCTATTTATAGCCCTTAGAAATAAAACAAATCATGAAATTAAGTTTTTATCAGCCAACATATCTGATATTGAACTTAAACTTCTAGTACATAGTTGTGTAATTAGAAGTAGTAGATTAAATTTGAGTTTCATTTCATTTCACTTATAAGGATCAATTGAAGAACAAAAGATACTGATGACAATACACAATAAAATCATACCACAAAAAACCCCCACTTAATTTGACATTACAGAATACCACATTCTTCTTCTTACAAATTATACTCATTGTGGAATCTAAAAATGTCATTATTAAGTTAGATTTTTTGTTTGAAAATTACATCATCCAAATGTGCAGGTCAACATATTTCATAAAAATATTTCATTTGTTTATCAGGTTAGAAAAGTTGCTATTAAGTCATCTGTTCCATCAAACTCAACAATCTCAGGTGTTTGTCTGTTTTAGATAACCTTTTTTACAGCTTAATTGGCAATTTCCACAGAAAAATAAGTTAACAATTAATTATTGATTTTTCAAAATGCACAAACAAAACTGTTGAACCAGATAATTGGAGTTGTTTGTCACATAGAATATGATGCTGTTTCCTCCTGTTACGATTACATTCCTTCTTCACGGGATATAATATGTCTTTGATGAAAACTGCATCTATGGTTTAATTTGAAGACATTAATGAGTGATGGCTTTTACATTCTAAAACAGATCGCCTTCCAAAGCTTTGTAAAGGGAGATAATTAATCTGTTATCATCGATAACTGTATGTCAATCACATTGGGAATATCATATTATATTTTTAGAAATTTCATTATTGTTAGAAGCACAATATAAATTGAAAGAAATGTAGCCATAACGAAACAATAATAGAGGTACCGATCGAGATTAGAATCAGCAAGACATCGTTGATAAAATGTTTTTTAGTCTCATGTCGTTTTCCAATCAGTTGCCGTGATATTGAATACATAGAAACCCAGGCCTGTAAACAAATTAATGTTAGATTCCCATTCATTTTGTTAGTTAGAAATGACAGATGACATAAAGCTGTAGAATTGGATTTTCCAGAGATTTGTTACTTTATTTTGGAAATAATGATAACTGAGACAATTAAGTATACATGGTCATCTTCTTTCATATGGGTTGTAACGTGTAGGTGTACAAATAGTTTAATTTTAAAAATAAGAAGATCTGGTATAAAAGCCAATGAGACAATTCTGTACCAGAGACCAATGACATAGAAGTTAAACACCTGTAGGTCACTGTACAGTCTTCAACAATGAGCAAAACCCATACTGCATAGTCAGCCTATATATTTCGTTAATTTTTGTCCCCTTACATGTTTTACTTTGTGTTTTTTCATTTACCTATCCTAAATACCCTTATGCTATTGTCCAGAGTTAAAATTCATAAAAAAAAATATAACTTTGTTGATATATCTGGATAAAACTTTAGTGTATAAATGAACAGTAATGGTCAGTGTGCAGAAGTGACCCTTGTCAAATTTTATATTCATGAAAAACTAGCTATGATTTAATAAAAAAAATAAAGTACCCAGAATAAATTTTTTTAAATGCATTTTATAAAAGTGAAAATTATTTGCTATTAGCAGATAGTTTTGTTTGATTTATAAAAAACGCTCAAAAAACATAACAGATTTATTACTCATCTTGCAACACAATTATTTGACCTCATTTGGGTCCATTTGCATGCAACATATAGTTTGACCCTTAGTTCGAGATGGGTTGTGCATAATGCTCAGCATGTTCAGTTATTTAAAAGAAAAATATGTTAAAGTGAAAAGTGATACAAGGAAGACACTAGGAAGAACCATTACTTCGATGGATTTGGCCCACAAAAATTTATTCTTATATATATACACATAAAATGATGATTTAGATATTTTCTAATGTATATGACATGAAAACAAACAGACCAAGAAATATGGTCATTATACTAATGCAAGTAATCATGCATTGCTTATTGCTTTTGTAATTCTGGTTAATATTTTAATATGTTATGAATCAAATTAGTTTGAGTCAATTCTGTGGTTATGAATTCGGCATTTAATTTCCTTTATAGGTACAGTTGAAAATCTAAGCAGGGAACATCATATATGTGTAGATAAAATGTATCATAATCTAAGCAGGGGACATCTTATATGTGTAGATAAAATATATCATAATCTAAGCAGGGAACATCATATATGTGTAGATAAAATGTATCATAATCTAAGCAGGGGACATCTTATATGTGTAGATAAAATATATCATAATCTAAGCAGGGAACATCTTATATGTGTAGATAAAATGTATCATAATCTAAGCAGGGAACATCTTATATGTGTAGATAAAATGTATCATAATCTAAGCAGGGGACATCTTATATGTGTAGATAAAATGTATCATAATCTAAGCAGGGGACATCTTATATGTGTAGATAAAATATATCATAATCTAAGCAGGGGACATCTTATATGTGTAGATAAAATATATCATAATCTAAGCAGGGAACATCTTATATGTGTAGATTAAATGTATCATAATCTAAGCAGGGGACATCTTATATGTGTAGATAAAATGTATCATAATCTAAGCAGGGGACATCTTATATGTGTAGATTAAATGTATCATAATCTAAGCAGGGAACATCTTATATGTGTAGATAAAATGTATCATAATCTAAGCAGGGGACATCTTATATGTGTAGATAAAATGTATCATAATCTAAGCAGGGGACATCTTATATGTGTAGATAAAATGTATCATAATCTAAGCAGGGAACATCTTATATGTGTAGATAAAATGTATCATAATCTAAGCAGGGGACATCTTATATGTGTAGATTAAATGTATCATAATCTAAGCAGGGAACATCTTATATGTGTAGATAAAATATGTCATAATCTAAGCAGGGAACATCTTATATGTGTAGATAAAATGTATCATAATCTAAGCAGGGAACATCTTATATGTGTAGATTAAATGTATTATAATCTAAGCAGGGAACATCTTATATGTGTAGATAAAATATATCATAATCTAAGCAGGGGACATCTTATATGTGTAGATAAAATGTATCATAATCTAAGCAGGGGACATCTTATATGTGTAGATAAAATGTATCATAATCTAAGCAGGGAACATCTTATATGTGTAGATAAAATGTATCATAATCTAAGCAGAGAACATCTTATATGTGTAGATAAAATGTATCATAATCTAAGCAGGGAACATCTTATATGTGTAGATAAAATGTATCATAATCTAAGCAGGGAACATCTTATATGTGTAGATAAAATGTATCATAATCTAAGCAGGGAACATCCTATATGTGTAGATAAAATATATCATAATCTAAGCAGGGAACATCTTATATGTGTAGATAAAATGTATCATAATCTAAGCAGGGAACATCTTATATGTGTAGATAAAATGTATCATAATCTAAGCAGGGAACATCTTATATGTGTAGATAAAATGTATCATAATCTAAGCAGGGAACATCTTATATGTGTAGATAAAATGTATCATAATCTAAGCAGGGAACATCTTATATGTGTAGATTAAATGTATCATAATCTAAGCAGGGAACATCTTATATGTGTAGATAAAATGTATCATAATCTAAGCAGGGGACATCTTATATGTGTAGATAAAATGTATCATAATCTAAGCAGGGGACATCTTATATGTGTAGATAAAATGTATCATAATCTAAGCAGGGGACATGTTATATGTGTGATAAAATGTATCATAATCTAAGCAGGGGACATCTTATATGTGTAGATAAAATATATCATAATCTAAGCAGGGAACATCTTATATGTGTAGATAAAATGTATCATAATCTAAGCAGGGAACATCTTATATGTGTAGATAAAATATATCATAATCTAAGCAGGGAACATCTTATATGTGTAGATAAAATGTATCATAATCTAAGCAGGGAATATCTTATATGTGTAGATAAAATGTATCATAATCTAAGCAGGGAACATCTTATATGTGTAGATAAAATGTATCATAATCTAAGCAGAGGACATCTTATATGTGTAGATAAAATGTATCATAATCTAAGCAGGGAACATCTTATATGTGTAGATAAAATATATCATAATCTAAGCAGGGAACATCTTATATGTGTAGATAACATGTATCATAATCTAAGCAGAGGACATCTTATATGTGTAGATAAAATGTATCATAATCTAAGCAGGGGACATCTTATATGTGTAGATAAAATATATCATAATCTAAGCAGGGAACATCTTATATATGTAGATAAAATGTATCATAATCTAAGCAGGGAACATCTTATATGTGTAGATAAAATATATCATAATCTAAGTAGGGGACATCTTATATGTGTAGATAAAATGTATCATAATCTAAGCAGGGGACATCTTATATGTGTAGATAAAATATATCATAATCTAAGCAGGGGACATGTTATATATGTAGATAAAATATATCATAATCTAAGTAGGGGACATCTTATATGTGTAGATAAAATGTATCATAATCTAAGCAGGGGACATCTTATATGTGTAGATAAAATATATCA